TTGCATGTGTTTTTATGTTTAACCTCTCCTGAGTCCATAGTAGTGGTGGACTCACATGAATGAGCCTTTGGTGCCACACACACTTCAATAGAAAAATCATAATAATTTTACGTGGAATTAGAGTTGATGGATAAAATAAAGGAATGGAGAATTTATTGAAGAACTGAGTGAAGTATTGTTCAGTGGTTATAAAATCCTAACCACACTTTCTGAAAAGTGCATTAGAATTAGGTAACCTCTGTGTTCTGATTGTAAAGGCTGCCTCAAGTAATGTTTTACTGAGCCATAAACTGTTCTGACTAAATTTCATGCCTGATAAAATCCTTGCATTTATAGCATAAAATGTAAGCCCTTGTCCCATAACTAATCTGCTAAGTTTCTGAAACATGGAAGTCTTGAATCTCTTTGCACCAGGAAATTAAGCTAGTAAAAGTCATCATATGGCTTTTTAAAACAGGCTAGTATAATTAGGAATTTTGTTCATCATAATCTTGCCATTAGTATTGAGATATATTTTATAAGATACATGTATATATATTCATACATGCATACTTATATGTATAAGTTTATATATACATTGTTTTAATAAGCTATTATAAATTAGTATAGTTATATATTTACTAATTTATCTCAGTAAATGCCTCTTATTTAATAGTTATATAAAAATTAGATTGATCTTCCAACAACAACATACTTGCCAACATTATATAGCATTGAGTAATGTCTTCTTATTTACAGACTTAAGTATATCATCATTATCTATGCCTACTGCATAGATAAAATGCATTGCAAACTAGTTTAAGCTTTTTGAAAATACATTGAAATATATTTTGAAAAAAGGGATATGGGGAGCTACGATGGGAAGTAAATGGTCTTTGGAGCCACACACAGCCATGTTCCACTCTTAGATCTGGGTCTCCTGAAATCTGTAATCTTGACTTAGATAAATATCCCTTGCCACCTCTGAAGTAGAAATAATGTTGCAGGCAATTTACTGTGCTATGCACTCAGGATCTGTGTACTTGCAGGTGTCCCAAATCAAACAAAGGGGAAGTAGTTAGATGGGAGCTGTCATTAGGAGGTGAAAAACCTGGATCACCATTCACTCCCTCTGGCAGAAGGAAAAACAGCCTGGGAGAAGAAGTCAGAATTGAGCATCCATCAGTCAATCCCTCAGGCAGCTGATGACATGAGTCCTGGTCTCAAGGAGAGCAGAATGACACCCTGCAGCATCTGCAGACTTTGTGTCTGTGTGTAGTATCTGACAAGAACTCAAACCAAATCCTTAAAGGCCACCTTTCTTGAAGGACACCTTTCCCAAGGACACCACAATGAGGAAGACTATCTTTTTCTTTTCTTTTTTGAATTCTTATTTTTCTTCTGTTGAAAATAGATTTTTAATACAATATATTCTGATTAAATCTCTTCTTCCCAAGCTTCCCTGAGGTCCTCCTCACACACTGCCCCCCATGCACAGCCACACCCTTCTTGTCTTCCATTAGAAAATAAACAGGAATCTAATCAATATTAATAAAATAAGATAAAACAAAAACATTTGAATAAGACAAAAGAAACAGAAAAGAAGCCATAGAAAATGCACAAGAAACATATGCAGAAGCAGAGATACACATACATTTGCACATTGAGGAATCCCATAAAAACACAAAACTGGAAGCCATAATATATATGCAAAGGACCTGTAAGGATAAAACAACAACAACAAAAAGAATGGCCTGGTAAAGCCTTATGAGACAAAGAGCCTTCAAAGATGTCATTGAGTTCATTTTGTGCTCACCATTTATTGCTCTGCATTGAGACTAATTCTTCATTTGCAAGTGGTTGTCTATTGGAAATAGGTCTGGGTTGGGAACAGGGGTGAGTGTTCACTTCTCTCGTGCTGGGATCTCATCCCGTGCCTACCCATAAGAAAGATTACTAGAAGCAGTCTCTATCTCTGGGATAGTCTCAAGACCACACCTTATTCCTGTCAGTGCCTGATCGTCTTTTTTTCTTCTACTGTCCATGCTAGAATTCATTGTGTCCAGCCAGCACCTCCACTGACTATAGTGGTTCACTTTGTGAAGTGACACCTGCTAAAATCCTGAAACCCTTCTCACCATTACTTACATGGGCTATTGCATTTTGCTATATCCTATTAGAAATAAGCCGCGAAAGGTTAAGAAACAGAGGCGAATTATCCTTTGTGGATATAGCCCCATTTTCCCCCCTGATGGTTTAGCAGCTTCTTCCTCTGCTCTCAGCTGTTTGCCATAGGTATCCAAATGGTTGCTGTTGTTCTTTAAAATCAGATCTATCTTAAGGATTTTTGAGCCTCCTATTATGTCCCACATGGGAGTATTTCCTCTTTGCAAACAAAGGTAGCTGGGGGCACAGAGCCCAGTTTGTAAGAATGGGAAACCAGTTCCTTGCTTAGCCAAGAGGAATAATGCTATGTTGACTACTCAGTTTCCCCCACCTTCATTCCCGGATCTACATAATCTATTCTTTGAAGATGTAGGCGATGGGGAGAGGGAGGCAAAACAGTCATTGATTTAAAGTATTTAAATACATAGTAGGGTAGTATCTCACAATTGTGAGACACTTCATCTGTGCCATTGTTTGGGAGGGGTAGAGATTAAACCAAGGGTCTCTCACACACAGGCATGTGCTTCAAAATTTAGTCATATTTCCACCTTCTATTATACATTTAGAAAGCTGTCCTGTTGCTTTATCGGGACAGCATCCTCTGGTTTATACCATTCATACTGAGCTGAGTACATCACATGATTATGTAGCCACTGCTGTACCTCAGTTCAAAAATTCCATTTGCTTTCAATGACATCATGCACCTTTGTGTATTGATGTCATAAACTTGTAGACTATAGTACGAGGCTGAATGCCAACCAGGCATGGTGGCAAATACCAGCATCACCTCTCTCCAGGGGCTGATATTGGGAGATCGTTAATTCAAGGCCACCCTTGGTTAAAACAGGGAGTTCAAGACCTTGTCTGAAACAGGCTCACAAACTGTCTTAGGGAATTTGTTTTGGGTCTAGACAAACGTAGTGACTTCCCTTTCTCAGTTGAAAGTGAATGGACTAATAATCAGATAAATGGCTGGTTGGTGACTCTGAAGGATCATGCTAAGATTGAGGCTCAATGTTGCTTCCTGTGGCTCTCAAATTGGATCACTCATCTACTTTCTCATGTGTGAGAAATCGGGGCAAATTATTAAATGGTCCCCATGGAACAGATGAGAGCTACTGAGGAATGGAGAAGACATGTTAAAAGGTTCAAAATGAATGATTTGGGAGACAGACGGAACTTCTTGAAGAGATATTTGAATTATAATAAAACTGAGATAATGAATAATCTTGGAAGCTCTAAAGCTATGCATGATGTAAGAAAGAAGCAAGAATGATTTCTGAAAACACACTAATTTATGTATTTCATTCTTGTATATTTTATTTCTTATTTTGTGTCCCCTAGTTTCTTAGTTTCCTTTTAATCTTTATTTAGTTTGTTGTTTGTTTTTCAGTTAAATCTGGTGAATGTACCAGGTTATAAAAGAACACATGATGAATTGGCAAATTTGAGCAAATAAATTTGCTGAGCTTAATTTATTGAATTAAAATAAAATCACATGTATTGCAACTGTAAGATTTAAATTGTCCATAAAGGATTTTTTTCATAGTAGGTTCAATCTATGCTTATTAATAAAAAAGACTGTGGCTTGAATCCTTCCTGCAGCTAAAACCACATGCTGCCTGCCCTACTGAGTGAGGCTCCTGCTAACTGGCCTTGGACCATATGCTTTGTATCTTCATTCAAAAGAGTTGTAATTTGAACAGTTAGTTGTCTGTGGTTCTAATATGCATACTTTAAAATCTATTTCTTGTTACAAAAATGTGCATTCTATAAACATTTCCTGCACAAATACTCTTATCATGAGGACAGAACTCACTTCTATATCTATTAGGATAAACTTAAGTATTGACATCTATTCTACAAAAATATTTGTATGCAAAATAAGTGATTATGTAAACAAAATATGTAAAAGCTAATTTTGGACACTAGTAAGGTGATGTCATGTGCATGAATGTGTCAGACACTCTGCAAACCTTCAGATCATGGTGCTGAACAAAAGGCTCAAGTCTTGTTTATAAAATCAGGATACTACTTACTTCATGGGTTGGTTGTGTGAGTTAAGTGAAAAACCTATGGAATTTAGATATTTCCCTACAAAATGTATGTATGCCGCATGTGTAGCACATGTAAACCTGATAGTGACATGTTGTAAATAACAGCTATTCCCCTTGCCTGAAGACAGGTCTGAGATCCCAAAGGATGCTTTATGTCAGTGTTTTCCTCTCCCCTCACATTCCTCAAAGAGAACAATGACTTGAAAACATTGGTTGAGTAAATCCTGCATTATCATAATTACAATTTCCCTGAGACTAGTGGCTTGCAGTTTGAATATTCAGCATCATAATTACGATTTCCATAAGGAATGTAGAACAGTTATTATAAACAACACAATAATCACTTGGTCTATAAGGGAGAACAGTTTACTAGGGGAGTGAAGAGAGAATGATGTGAAGCCTGTGTTCTGATCAGCATGCAGGAGGAGAATATGTTGCAATGTCCTGTGAAAATTGTCTTGCCCAGATTTATGGAGAAACTATACCATGATGGCACATCCACAAGAGTTGACTAAGCATTGCCTGTATAATTTTTCCTTTTATATAATTTTGTTAAACATTCCCATTATTGCTATGCCACTAAGAAATTTTACAGAAGTAAACTACCAAAATAGCAAAGGCACATTATTAGAGAGGAAAGTTTTATCAGGTGTTTTCTCTGCACAGTTAAATGTTTGTTTTCTGTCCTAAGTAAAATGGTGAAACTTCATTAATTTTTTTAAAAGATGCCCATTTTAGTTTATCCATTGCTTCAATTGTCTCTAACTTTAATATTTGTCTTTTCTTTTTCATTTTTAGATGAAGTAAAAGAAGCAAAATGCAGCATTCAAGGTTGGTACTTTTCATAATGCATGAACACACATTAGTATAAAACAGAGCACAAAAGTAACAAAGCCAAAATTCCCTCAACTTTTCACAGATAACAGAGAATACAACATTTTCATCTTCTCCACTACTGCATAGAAACTACAACATAAGTTGACCATAGAACAGCACTTAATCTAATATATTAGCTTTGAATCAAAATTTGGCAATATTGTATAGGTAGAAATGTTCAGTACTTTCCATTCCATTCATCCAGCTGTCTTTGTTTGTTCATCTTTTATATGTATTTATCAATGACATTTATTGAATGCACATTGTATACAAAACCATGCCACATTATTCCTTCTATCCAGACTTTATCTGGCCTTCACCAAATTAACAATATCCTCCCTGTTCTAACATTGCCTGATAACTCTAACAATAAACTGTCACCTATTATCACAGATCCTTGATTTAACTTGCTATAGCTGACAAGTAAGTAGGATTTCCTCAACATTGCTCAGCTGTGTTCAGACATCTACTCTCAAATAATTTGCACTCCTTAGTATGATAATAAGGAAATTATTTTATACATATCTAATATGTGTTATTTTTCGGTATTGTGTATGTGTGTTTGTATATCAGGATAATTTAGTAATTGACAATACCAAATATACTTATATAAAATTCTAATATATACATATATAACATAAATACATATTTATATGTAAGAATGGTAGCAGTACATTGAACAGTCTCTATGGGAGGCAGACACTGAAAATTATCTATTAAGCAACGGTAAATGGAGACTAATACTAGAGTAGTTGTTAAGCTAATTTTAAGTGGAGAGATATAGTGCTGTTTTAATTAAGGGATTTTGCTATTACTTTATTTGAGTAAACATTAAAGCATTTATAGATTTCATTACTCCTTCACACATAACATCTTGGAATACTCAGCAGAAATTCTGCCATCAGAGGTACTTTCGCTAAGAACTGTCAGAATTAAGAAGGGACTCCCATATCAGTCTGCTCATCTAATTTAATTTAATAAAACATCATCTCAATCACCTCAGCCATCAATATGCCTAATTGCAGTACTGAAAGGCAGTCAGCAGTGGTTGAGAGTTGGGGACCCAAACACAAAGTGCTTGGATTTGAAGTCCATTTGCTACTGTACTGTTTATGTGTCTTCAACCAGTTTAGTACCTGTAATCCCTGATTTCCTCAATTGATAAATAAAAAGAATAAAAGATTTTTATGAATCAAGAGAGATAATATATTTGCAAATCATTTCATCATGTCATAGAAATGCAGTGAGTGACAGTGACCACTCATGACTTTTCTGTATTACATTTGCAGTTCATACTGTACTGTGAGCAGGCAGCAACTTCACTGTCTAGAGGAAACTTCTCTCCTGGTCCCAGTTTATCATGTTTCCCCTGCAGAGATGCATTCCTTATGTGATAATGTATTTGTTCCACATGAAAATGTAAATAACTTAGTACTGTCCATTAAATTGTGATACCTTGTTATGGACATTGCACATGTGTTGCTTCCTTGATAGAAAACTTCGGTGACTGTGACTAAGGTGGAAGAAATAGTTTGGTTTTTGCTAAAGAAAGAAAAGGTAACACCAAGGTATAGGAAAACAGAAGGAAAGAAACTTGGCTCCAGGTTTTCGGTTTCAATCTGAAGCCAGAATGGCTGTGGCTGTGTGTGTGTGGTGACATTCCTCTTTCCAGGTGATGTGAGAACAGACAAGTAGCAAGGAGACTGCAGATTGGTAGAATACAGAAGAATACTAGTAGATGTTGAGAATCATTCTTCTCTAGCTAACAAAGAGTAAAGGAATAAGAAGTCTGAAGATGCAACAGGAGAGTAAATATTAAGGAAGAAAAATAAATACCTATTCCTCTTTGTGAGGTATGTAGGAATCTGTGTGTATGTCTTGTCTTTGTGTACCAACATAGGTTATGAAAGCAATACTCCCTTGGTTGAGACTGGAGAGACAGGTCAAACTAGCTCAATGACATCGAAAGACCTTGAACCAGCTGCCCTTTACTAACGGGCCTCACAATGGGAACAAAAACAAGAATTTAATTGCCAAGTTTCTCCTTTGTTCACTCTGCCTTAGTGAAGCAAGTGGAATGCCACAGTTGGCTTAGGAAAGGAGATTGGCCAGTTTCAAGAGCTGCCATATATTTCATACATACAAACACTGATCATGAGCATGAAAATACATCAAGATTAGATTTTCTGTGGAGACAGACTACCCCTTATAGATAATGGAAAACATGAGCCTATATCCTCTTATAATCAAAAGCATTAAGTGCTCAGTAACTCAAATGAAAGAAGATAATACTAAAAATTCTTAACTGGACACTTGAGATGAGGAATCTTTTAGAATTCCTAACCACTCCCCTAGCTACATGACCACACATACACTGTCTAGTAGCCAAGCTAGAGGCTTAGTCATCCCAGGGCCTAATGTCCTACATCCTACATAATCCATGCGTTGTGTGATCATGTAATTTGTGAGCAGAGTAATCACATAATCTATGTGCATGCGTGGTGAAGCTACATAAACCCATATGCGCATGTGCAGGGGGAACCTATAAAAAGCAGGTTCCATCTATCCCTCCTCTCTTCCTGCATGATCTTTCAATAGGCCTAAGCAGCTCCTTCTGTTCTCTTCTCTTAATAAACTCTTGTAGTGGGTTTTGTTGTACCTTGTGGCTTTTCTCGCATGGTAAACAGTGCCACTTAATGAATAACATTGCACTGCTTAATAAACAACAAAATCTAAAACTATATTTATATAAGTACATTTGATAAAAGTGTAGCACAGCTGTGAAATGACAAGGTGATTTGGTCTGATGGTTTATACCCCTAGTTCATATGTTGAAGTACAGCTCTCCAAGGCAAAAGTAGTAGGAACTGGGACCCTTTGGGAAGACAAGGCAGAACTGTTTATGAATAGGGATAGTGACTTGGCAAAATAGGTTCCCTACCATATGTGGACATAGGAGACCTTATTTATACACATGGCAGCCTTCCCCATAACCTGGGGATTTCCAGTCTCCAAAACTATACAAAATATTCATTTGTTTTTACTAACTAACAAGATGATAATAATTTTGCAGAATGTAACACAAAATCTTTTTTGGGGGGGAGGGGGGCAGTGAGTTTCAAGACAGGGTTTCTCCATGTAGTTTTAGTGTCCTGGATCTTACTCTGTAGACCAGGCTGGCCTCAAACTCACAGAGATCCACCTGGCTCTGCCTCCTGAATGCTGGGATTAAAGGCATGTGCCACTGCTGCCCGGCTGTAACATGAATTCTTAAGGGTCTTATAAGAAAAATCCCAAAGCCAGATAGTAGGGTAAATGATGAAAGATCAGAGAGACAAAGGAACAAGCCACTGCCATGTCTTACCTCTAGGACTCCTCAGCCTGAAAAGGCTTCTGTTCCTGGCTCCTCATGCTTTATATACCTTTCTCCACCCAGCCATCACCTCCTTCTTAGTGCTGGGATTTAAGGCATGTGTCACCACTGCCTGGCTCTGTCTCTTTACTAGACTGAATCAATCTCGTGTAATCAAGGCTGGTTTTCAATTCACAGAGATCCAGATGGATCTCTGCCTCCCAAGTGCTAGGATTAAAGGTATGTGCCACCACTCCCTGGCATCTAGGTTTAATCTAGTGGCTTGTTCTGTTCTCTGGTCTTCACACAAATTTTATTAGGGTACACAATATATCACCACATTTCCCCTTTTTGTCTAAAATAATAAAATAAAATTATAACTAATATAAGAAAAACTATGTACAATAAGTACAATAAGTACATACAATATATATAGTCAAGAATTACATTAACAATGTCCAGTCCATGAGCATTTGACACATTCAGAGAAAATAGTCCATTATTTATCCTACTTTGGTAAGTCCAAAATGTTGTACCTAATTCACTTTCTATCCTAACTTGTATAACCAACCAAAAACCATCTTTTGATGCCTTTCAAATTTATACACTTTACACGTCTTTAGTGAGTTTCTTTTCTGAATTTGTTAACAAGCAAAACTTTAACTATAACTAACTAGTCTTCAGCTCCCTCAGAGACCTGAGAAGGGAATAATAGTTACTGAGTAAGCAGGAAGTGTAAACAAGTGACTTCCAAAAAAATGTGAAAAATGACAAAGACAGCTGGCTGCCTGGACAGTCACGCAAGGTTCCTCTGCAACACTGGGCATCCATCTTTGGCCTACAGGTCTACCATATCTGACAGACTCATCTGTGAAGCAGTGTTTTCTAAAAGACCTTCCTACCTTGTCTTGGCAAGGTTTGGCAATCCTTTCTTTTGTGTCCTGCTTGTCCATTTGGATAGCATACCGCGAGCAGGCGAGGCAAGGGCACTTTCTTGCCCAGTGACTAACTTGCCACAAAGAAAATAAACTCCACAAGGAGTTTCTTTGATGCCCATCATCTTCTCTAAAGCAGATTGGTTCTGCCAGGAGCAGACATGTCTCACTGCCATAAAAAAAGAAAAGAATCTGTTATTAAAACATCTTAAATACCATATTCTATAGATCTCTAAAGGATTTGAAGATGAACTGTCTATCTAAAATATATCTTTGTTCGAGGTGGAAAACAAACCTAACTTGACAAGTTCCATTGTTCTAGGTGACTAATTACTAACCTGGATTTCTTTATATCTTAATTAGTTGGTAATAATAAGTTTCAAGGATGAGAAATTTGCATTAAAATGTTAAATGAACTCTATAGGTACAACACTTTGAACAAGATTAGAAATTTATGTAGTTTTTTTCTAACAAAATTAATCTCTATTTGTATCACTATACACAATTTGTATACAACATTAAAAAATCCAACCCAATGTAAAATATTTAAAACTAGTAGTTGCTTTTTAAAAGTAGATTTAATAATCTAACTTTTTATCATATACCTATATTCCTGTTTTTTCTTTTCAGAGTAGATTCAATAATCTACCCTTTTGTCCCATCATGTC